TAATTTTTAGATTAAAAAATATTTTTTTAATATTGTAATCACTAGGGCTCGGATTTTTAGGTTATAACCTATTTTTTCTGCGAAATAGTTATGATGAATTGAGCTCAAATCCGTTGTTATTTTTTGAATATCTTGCGTTTACGCGGACTTATTTCCACCTATTCCAACCTATTTTGGGGTTTTGCAACCTAAAATAGGTTGTAACCTATTTTGAAGTTTTTGTGATTTTTGTCACCTATTTTGACTGTTTTTCGTAAAAATTCGTTTTTTTACCAAAAATTTTTAGGATTTTTCGAAAAAATTTAAATTTTTTTAAAATTTTGTCTATTTTTCTTACCACCCAAAAATTTTTTTCAATTTTTGGAAAAATATTTATTTATTTATTTATTAACATAAAAAAAAATGTCATCGAAAGGGCGTGCCACTTAATCCGACAACAATGTCGTAGTGAAGCACAATAAAAATAATCAAAATAAAAAACAGCATAAAAACAATTAAAGTCATAATAAATTAAATAAAAACAAAAATTTATATATAATCGATTTATTATTTAAATAAATATACTCTATACCGACCATTTTAATTAACTAGGATGATTAAGTATAGTTCAAATTTTGTCAAAATTTAAAGAATTAATTTGTTCAACAATTTTGCTGCGTTTTTCGTTGTTTGTCATATTTGCTGCAAAATTTAATGGAGAGAATTCAGAAGAATTGCGCTTAGACATTGTTTAGTCAACAAAAAAAAAATATTACCCAATTAAATATCTTTTTAAAATTTCCTTAAAAGAAAAAAAATAAAATGCTTTTTAAACAAAAAAAAAGATAAATTTTAATAAAAATTAGGAGAGAAGAAAACAAAAAAAATTTTTTTTAAATTTAATTTTATGAGTCATCAAAAAGAAGAAATAGTGGGAATGCGAAAGAGTAAGAGATGCTTGTATAAATTGTCATTTAAATTAATTTTTTTGAACAGAATGCCAAACATAATTCAAAATTATAATTTAAATGTTTACTTAAAAAGGAAAGAAAAATAACAATATATAGCTACTATATAGAAAAAATAAAATCTATATACTAGAAAATAGGTGATTATTTAAAAACATTAAAAATGTTTTTATGATTATTTTAACAAATTGCCTAACTTTTTGCTTTTACAATTTCTAAGCATTTAAGTAAGCATGATTTGGTTAGAATTCTGAGAATATGTTTAGTTCATATTCAATTAGTAAAAAACCCTTAATTTTTGGAAATTTATGAATTTAAGTAAAAGACTATTTGATAAATTATCTTTACATTCTTTACTTGATCATAAAAAAAAAATGGAAAAATTACGTTTAACAGAGGATTTTTTATATAAAGTAAATATTTTTTATTTATTTCTTATAAAGTTGATAACATTTTATTTCTTCCTAAGAAATTAACATTCAAAATAAACATTTGAATCTTGGACATGTAACATGAAAAATTTTGAAATTTTACTACGATTTTTTAAACATTGTAAGAATTTAGAGGCTTTGAGCTTGAAATAGCTGTCAATTCTGAATGATGCTATTTGTGATGAAATTGGAAAATTTTCTAGATCTAAGATTTTTTGGATTTAATTTGTTAATAGGAAAGTGAAACTGGAATTTAGAATATTTTTTCCAAATAGGTAAGTGAAATTAGAATTCAGAATATTTTTTCAAAATTGTAGATTTACTGAATGAGTATTGCTTTATTTTTCTTTTTTTTTTTTAATATGATTCGACCGTTTTCTGAATGTTCCTCGACTAAACCACATCCGAATGCAGAATCTGCGGAGAATTGAAAAGGTCCCAGGAGAAAAACTGACTAGGAGGAGGGAATAAGAGTGGGCCCTGCCACATTTAAAAAAATGATGGTGAAGGAAGTATAACATAATAAAAATCCGCAGACGGTACGCGGAAACGGAAATGTAAAAAAAAATCCGGAATTGCTGAGACTCAAGAAAACTAAGGATTTTGAAAGGCAAAAATGCCCTCTGCCTAGCATTTTTGCCTATTAACGTTAACGCTCACGTATTAATTTTTAAATTGAGAGAGATATTCATAAGGGCAAATAATCAGTTCTAATTATAATAAATAGAGGGCATATAATCATACGACTATCAGAGGTGGGATAATAAATAAATTCGAAATTTTGAATCGAAATGGAGCAAATTACATATTCGAAATTAAGTGTTTTTCTTTTCAATGTTCTAATCGTAGTTAAAATTTAAAAAATAGAGGAATTGGTGTGAAATTGTCGGTAGCTCATTTTAAATTTAGCTCATATATAGCTTAGTTTATAAATTCGAAGCAAATTCAAATCTTTTAAATTTACTCGGAAAAAGTATTTTTACAAAATGTTTAAAAAAATGTATTACTTGGGAAATGTATTACTTGGGAAAAGTATTTTTTAAAAATGTTTAAAAAAGTTAAAAAATATAACCATATCTTTTACAAAAATTCCCGAAATAACATCTAAATAGTATTTTTAATTTTGCTTTGACTAAGAATAATTATCTGGAAGAGACGAAATAGAATATTTTAATTTGCCTCTAAACAAAACAAAGATACGAAACTGAGGACGAAATCCAGATCCAGGATTTCAATAGTAAATATTAAAAGTAATTTTATTTCTTTTTAATTTATTATAGATTAACGAAATTCCAAATTTAAATCTGGATAGCATTATTGAGCCTCAATTTGGAGTTTTTGAATTTACTTTAGATGATCAACTTAGGGAGAAGGTTAAATTAATCTTTAAATAATTAATTTACATTTATTTTTCAGTGGCAAGAAGCTATAGACAGATCAATTCCGTTGTTTTTGAGCAATTTTGAATCTATCAGAAAACTTATTAGTATTGAAAAAACATTTACAAATTTATCAGACAAAAAAGCACCCTATCTTATAAACTTGCCAAACATTCCAAAAAATATTGAAGAAATGATTATTGTTCGGTGTTGGTTAGAACAACTTTTTAATTGTGCCTTTGAACGTGTTTGTTTTTATAAAAGTGTATTTAATCCGGAAATGATCAAAATATTATTTGATAATAATAAAACAATTCCAGCTCAATTTAACGTTCAAAAGCTTTTTCTGTTTCCTGGCAATAAAACATTTGAAAATATTTTGGATTTCTCTTTAAATCATCTATCAATTTCTGAATTTCTTAGTATCAATTTTGATAACGTTGACATTACAGAGAAATATATAAATATTTTATTCAATATTTTAATAAATGAAGGAAATAAATTACCAAAAATTCATTTCAGTAATTCTAAGTTAACAAAGCTTTATGAAAGTATTATAGAAGTAAGTCTGTTTATAAGTCAAAAATAAATTTAAATTTTAGTATATAGCAACATCGAGAGATTGTTCAAAAATGTTTTCTGATATTATTTTTAATTTTTCTACTCCCCCAAATTTTAAATTAAGTGAAAGGACAGAAAAGGTTGAAATTAAGCAAGTAGATGATGTAAAATATACAAAATACCAAATTGCCAATATTTATAATCCAAAAGTGAAATTTGAATTTTGCAATGAAGTATGGAAGGATGGAACGATTTTTTCATTCATAACAAAATTATGAACGAATACATAGAAGTTAAGAGGACGAAAATAAAGTTTTTGGTTATCAGATAAAATTTTTTTTAAATATTTATTAAAAAATGCTCTTTAAAATGCAAATTTTTTGAAAAGTAATATATAAATTTATTTTTTTTTAATTTTGAAAATTAGAAAAAAATTTTTATAAAAATTGTTTAAAAATCAATTATTTTTTACAATCAAAAATGACAGATTTCAAAAATCGAATACTCAAATAAGGATATTTATTTTCAACTTCCTTCCATACTTCGCTAATTAAAAAACGATCTTTGTTGATGCGAACATAAATTTTACAACCCTAAAATTAATAATTTAATAAATTATTTGTTAAATTTCTACCCTTTCCAAGGTTGGAGCTTCGTATAAATCAATGATACCACAATATTTTAAAAACTTTTCATCATCTGAAAAGATAAGGATGTCTATAAAGCTCTATTCCCTACCAATTAAGTTAGACATAAACATCTCGCATTCATATTTCAACAATTCCACTTGATATTTATGAGCTATAGCAAAAATATCTTCAACATGATTTTCCAAGGCGCCTTTAAAAATTATAGCGAGTTAATAAAATATTTTCAAATAAAAATACTTTTTGTAATTTTGCCTGTATAGAAAAACTTCAACATTACATCAACACATTCAGGACCAAAATCAGAAATTATAATCTCACCCTAAATAAAATAAACTTCTTCCTTTAATTTTTAGATTAAAAAATATTTTTTTAATATTGTAATCACTAGGGCTCGGATTTTTAGGTTATAACCTATTTTTTCTGCGAAATAGTTATGATGAATTGAGCTCAAATCCGTTGTTATTTTTTGAATATCTTGCGTTTACGCGGACTTATTTCCACCTATTCCAACCTATTTTGGGGTTTTGCAACCTAAAATAGGTTGTAACCTATTTTGAAGTTTTTGTGATTTTTGTCACCTATTTTGACTGTTTTTCGTAAAAATTCGTTTTTTTACCAAAAATTTTTAGGATTTTTCGAAAAAATTTAAATTTTTTTAAAATTTTGTCTATTTTTCTTACCACCCAAAAATTTTTTTCAATTTTTGGAAAAATATTTTTTCAAAAATAAAAAAGATTTTCCTTAATTAATACTTTCCCGTGAAAATTTTAAAAAATGGGAATTTTTTACCATTTTTACTATAAAAATAAAATTTTTGAATGGAAAATAAAAAATTTTCAACATTTTTGCTTTTTTTACCCCATATGTCGACCTTTTTTTGCAACCTATTTTCCATTTTTGTCACATATTTTCGAGATTTGGTCACCTATTTTGGCACTTTTTACAACCTATTTAGGTACTTATTTTAAGGTTTTTACAACCTAAAAATCCGAGCCCTAGTAATCACACTCTAAATTTATTATATTATTAAATTTCATGTATCATTTATTATTGCAAGTTTTACTATTCGTCCCCCTCTATGCCCTCCCTCTATGTTATTCTTGCTTACATTTTGAGCTTCAATCATTCCATCATGCTCGAACATTTTTTGAAATACTTTACTATTACTTGCCAAAATACAACGATGTGTTTTTATAGAATCTTCACCAATCTTAAAAAATAAAATATATTTTTTTATTAAATAATTCCACCTTAATAACACAATCTGTGAATATTTCCCCTTCAAACATATTATTATAAATATTTTTCAAGCTATCGGTAGAATTATAACAGTCAACTTCGACATCACAATGTAGATACAAGCTACCTAAATTTATAATTATAATGTTATAGAAGTGAATATCCAACATACCATCAGAATGCAACAAACTGCATATATAAGCATTATCAACCTGAGTATATCCCAATTTTTCTTGAAACTCAAGACCGTAAGTTGAGCTTAATTATTTAAAAAGATTTTTAAATAAAATATTAGTGACCTTGCTATTTCTTTATTCGTGTTGTCTTGTGTGGCATAAATTCGGTATTGAGTATTTACGAGATTATTTGTGCTATTCGGTCCAATTTGGCGAAGCCAAATAGCATAAGAACGATAGTTCGTATGCCGGGACATGCTAAAGTAGTCGCTCATTTATTCGCTAGACATCTATCAGACTAGGTCGGGTTATATTTCATTCAAAAGAACTCATCGAACTGAGTAGAATGACAAATATAATAAGACCTAGTCGGTGCCCGTCTTGCGAATAAATGCGTCACTTACCCTCGCCCCATAACTTGAACTTGCCGACTACGTTCCACTAAATTATAAGAAAATAAGTTTGAGTAGGAAAGGAAAATACCTAACTTCGATTTTTATTATTTTATTAAGTATTATTAAGATTTTGATAGGGATTAATATTATTTGCCTAACCCAAAATTTTTGGTTATAAAATTACGATGTTTGGAAAAAATTACTAACTGTGTAATTTTTTGGTTTAAAATAAAAATGGGCATTTATTTTATAGAATTTTTTCTACCGATTTTACTCGGAAACCAGGGTTACTTGACCATTTTATCTAAGCCGGGTACATAACTTAGCCCTGGTGTTAATTGAGTACTTACCACAGTATTTAATCTCAAAGCACAATTCCCATTCTATCGATGTATATTCGGGATTGAAAAATCGATCACCTATAAGCTTTTTTAAAATTTAGTGTTGGATATTACTTATTAAATTCAATTTTCCATCTTCGTAATTAACACTTTCAATTATCTTATTAATATTTATGATTGTCCATTTTTTATTGCATTTAATAGTATTCATCTAAATAAATTTTTGAATAAATTTTCTTAAATTTTATTTTAATGACATAGTAAATGCAGTTATTTTATTCATTTATATTTACCCTTCAATTTTCAAATGTAAATATTTTCCTTTTTAATTTCCTTACTGGCCCTTCTCTTCCCCTTACTATATTAAGTTGAATTCAAATGTAATCTGCTCTGGAAAAGTTAAATTTACTTTGTTCTCTCCTTAACTTTTATGTCGATTTAGATCTACCAATCCCAATATTTCTTAAAAATTAACATTTATTATAAAAGAAATTTTTTCCTAAAACAACACTAATTCTATGTGATTAGGCAATGTGAATTAAGAAAGACGAGTTGACCTTATAAAGGCAAAAATTTATTTCTCAAACATTTACATATTTGCATTTAATTTATTCTATACTTATTTAAATTTCCTAAATTAATTTAAAATCATTTTTAGCTGAATTTTTTCATATTCTTTAGATAATTAAAAATGCTTTCTTTACCACATGAAGTTCAGCTTGTTGTATTGAAATGTCTTAATTTTAATGAATTATTTTCTCTTAAATTAACAAATTTTTACTTTCTTAATTTAATTAATAAATATGAGGGGGAATTGGCACGAAAGCAATTTAGACATCTCTCACTAATAAAAATTAGCTTTAACGATAATAGATTATCACCAGATAAATTCTTCGGTCCTCAATCAGGGATTTTTGAATTTACTTTAAACGATCAACTTAAAGAGAAGGTTAAAATACTCTTTAATTAAATTAGGTAAATTTATTTTTCTCAGTGGCAAACAGCGATAGATAAATCAATTCCGTTGTCTTTAGATAGTTCCAAGTCTGAAAGAACTATTTTTGTTAGTGTTTGCTTTGAGGGAAATTTATTTAATCCAGAAATGATTGATATATTATCTGATAACGACAAAACAATTCCTCTTCAATTCAACGTTCAAGAAATAATTCTATCGGCTAACAATACAACATTTGAAATTGTTTTGGAATTTTCGTTAAATTATTTATCTATTTCTGAATTTATTTGCTTCAATTTTGATGTTCACTTAACAGAACAACACACGGATGTTTTATTCAATATTTTAATAAATAAAGCAAATAAATTCCCAAAAATTTGTTTAAAATATATTAAGTTAGATCTTTACGATCAAATTATGAAAGTAGGTTGTTTAAAAATACGGCAATTCCAAGGCTTGTCCCCCTTTTTGTTAATGTTCTATTTTTTTCATTTTCTATGAATAATTATATACATTCGAAAGACTCTTCGAGCTGAGTCGGACGGCACTAAAATCATCGAAATCCGACTTGAATCAACATAGTTATGAGCATTTGTTTTAATCCCTTTCAACGTCACAAAAAGCATGTTCATCGAGGATTTAGCTTCATAATTTTGTTCAGAATCGTCAAATCTAAACGATCATAGTATCAATCTACCCAGCTCGAACAGCTCTTTCAAGTGGTATATTGTAAATTATTTGTCAAGCAAAAGCTCAAAATGGTCAGGGAAACAGAAAAAAGTGGGGGCCAGTCCTGGTATTACCAAAAATACAGAGTTAAAAATTGGTTTAAATTTTAGTATATACTATCAACATCTGAGGACTGTTCAAAAATGGCGCCTGTTATTATTTTTGTTTTATCTATTCCAAATTTTAAATTAAACGAAAGAGCAGAAAATGTTGAGATTAAGCAACTAAAGAAAAAACAATTTAGTACAAATTATCAAATTGCCAATATTCACAATCCAAAGATGAGATTTGCATTTTGCAACAAGCAACGAAAGAATGGAACGATTTTTTGCATTGAAATTAGGAAAATATAGAATAGAATTTGGGAAGACGAAAAGGAAATTTATTTGATTCTATTGACAACAAAGTGTTTAAAAAATATTTTCATTGACTTTCGATTAAATTATTTTTGTTTTATAAAATTTATCTTCATCTCTTTTTTTACCTGTTAAACCAGTCACTATATTTTTAAATATTTTAAATCACGTTTTATTTAAATACATTATGGTTTTTTAGTATTAAATAATTTTGTCAAAAAATGTTTTCCTTGCCAATTGAAGTCCAAATTGATATTTTTAAATGTCTCAATTATGAGGAATTATGTTCAATCAAACAAACAAATTTATATTTTCGTGATTTTATAAATAAATATATAGAAGAACTTGCTCGGCAGAAATTTTATAAAATAGATATTGTAATGTATTTTAGTTAATTTAAATTTTTAAAAATTTTTTTAAGGATTGTTTTGATAGATGTAAAGATCTTCCACCTAAATTTATTAGACTCGAAACTGAAAATTTTCACCTTTCATTGAATGAACAACTTGAAAAGAAGGTGATTAAAATATGTATTTAATAGTTAAATTTCTTTTTTTAGTTGGAAAAGGGACCAGAAAAACCAATTCCTTTGTATTTACCTGATAAAGATTCGGACAAAATGGCTATTTTTTTAATTAAAGGTAAATGTTTATTTAATAACATGTTATTCAAGGTAGAAAATACCTATTTAAAAGTAGGTGGATTAGTTTAGTTCGAACGAAAGAGATTAGGCATACAAAACCACTACACACAAATGTTATCAATAAGTAGCTTACTTTTTCTGTTAAGATTGGGTTTTTATTTGTTTTTCTTTTAAATTTTTTAGTTTGCGACGGTACACCCCGTCTTAGCGGTTGGGGTCAGTTGAGCGCGGCCGGTTGAGCGCCAGAGAACTTTGATAGGCTATAACTTTTTAAGCCTTGATCCAATACAAATAAGTTTTATATCATTCGAAAGCCCTCGATAAGCGGTATCTTTTTTTAACTAGTGGATCAAGTCTGATCACCGGTTAAAAAGTTACAAGTCGATAAGTGTGAAAAACAACGATTTCCTGCACTTATCGACTTGTAACTTTTTAACCGGTGATCAGACTTGATCCATTTAGTTGGAAAAAAGATACCGCTTATCGAGGGCTTTCGAATGATATAATAATCATTAGGAGTGATTCAAGCACAAAAAAGTTATAGCCGATCAAAGTCGGCTGGCGCTCAACCGGCGGGGCTCAACTGGCCCGCTCCGCGTCTTAGTATACTACAGCTACCAACAATTATTAAAAGCAAAGAGGACATCAAAATTGTTTATTATTATTTAAATAAATTATTTAATTGTTTTTTTGGAGATGGCCTCTTTGAAAACTTTATATTCAATCCAGAATTGATCAAATTATTATTTGGAAGAACTAAACAATTTTATATTCAAGCATCTTGGCTGTTTATTTATTTCAATACTGAAAATTGTTTAAACTTTACGTTGAATCATCTGATTAGTAAATCTCTTGAAATTTATTTAAATGATGAAAAAGATGCTACAAAATATGCGGATATTTTATTTAAAATTTTAAAGAGTGGAAACAATTTTAACGGTGTCTGGTTAAGGTCTAATACCTTACAAAAACTTTTTGATATTGTTTTAACTGTAAGTTTTTGGTTACTTTATAATTATATGAGTATTTCAAACTAGTCAAATTAAGATAAAATTTATTTTCGAAAACTGAGATTTTAAATATTTTAAGTCTTTTTTGTAATTTTAGCATATTGAAACCTCACAAGATTGCTCAAAAATTGTGGCCAATATTAAATTAAATAACCTTGAAATTCCTTTTACTGATTTAAATGAAAGAGCTGAAAAATTGAAGTAAAGCGTGAAAACGAGCATTATTCAACAACAAAATACCAACTTTCCAACAAAAACACTCCAAAAATAAAATTCACTTTTTTATGTTGGAGAAGTCAGGACAGAATTAAAGATATAGACATTAAACGAATTTATTGATAAATTTTTTTGATAATTTATATTTTACTTTTCGGCAATGGACAGAATCTGCCCAGATCTTTTTTCCCGACATTTTCGGAATTAATGGTTTTACCGTATCTTCCCAGTATGAGTTAAAATTCTAAAACAAATTTCTGGGCGTATCCGGAAAATAAGATTTACTTTTTCAAATTTAATTTTAAAATTTTTTGTTTCTCGATAAACATTTTCTAAAAAATTTTGAATTTTTTCAAAAGTACATTTATTAAAATTTCATCAAACTAAAAATACGTCCTTTCGGCATACGATTAAATATAATTTTTCAAATTTCTCTCTACCATTTAAAAATTGACATTTACTAAAAAAATTATTCGCTTTGTAAGGCAAAAATCACACGCATCTTTTTTTTAAAATGATGACCATTTTATTTAATTAGGCAATGAGAATAAGGAAAAACTAGGTGAATATAAAGACAAATATCTCTTACTCAAATATTTATTTGCCATTAGTTTTTGTTTTAGATTAAAAAAATAATTTTTAAATCATTTATTTACAAGTTTTCATTTTTTAAACAAAGTTTGATAAAAGTGTGTATTACTTACCGTCGTTTGTTTAAGTAGGGTTGTGGCCGACCGGTTATTAACCGGTACCCCCGGTTTTCGGATAATCTAAATTTGAAAATCCGGTTTTTGGTTATGAAATTTTTTAAGCTTATATTTTTGGTTTATTTTTATTCAAATTTTATCTTGGAAAAGTTTTCCATTATCTTTTATGCAAATTAATGCCTGCTAATTTATCCTTATGTAAATATTTTTGAAAACATTTTAATTATATAATTTTTCAGCATTTTTCAGTTAATTCTTAGCGCTTATATTAAATTTTCAGAAAATGTTTTATTCCTTAGCAACAGAAACGAAAATTGATATTTTTAAATTCCTCAATTTTGAAGATTTATGTTCAGTCAAGCAAACGAATTTATATTTTTATGATTTTTTAAATAAATACGAAGGGGAGCTTGCTCGGGAAGTATTTAATAAAATTTATATCGTAACAGTTAATTAATTGATTTAATTTACAAGTTTTCTAGGGTGATATCGATAAATTCAATGAAGATCCTCTTAAAATAATTAGACCGAAGGCTAAAGATTTTGCTTTTCCATTGAACGAACAATTTGAGGTTTAAATAAATCTAAATTGTTTAAAAATTACCTTTCTTTTTAGTGGAAGGAAGTACTAGAAAAACCAATTCATTTGTATTTATCTGATCAAAGTTCAAACAAAAATGTTATTTGCTTAACTAAAGGTTAAACTTTTTTAATAAATTTTTTTGGGTCATTCCTTATTAGGCCCTCTTATACCAAGAGCTGAGATTTACTATGAAATATATAAAAATCTAGTCCTCCCAGATCCATCGATATATCCTCAATATGTTCTTACTCCCTCTCAATTCCTCACAAATCCATTTCTAAATTAAAATAATTTCTTAGTCTACAATGATGAAGAACGTCAAATTATACTAGAATTACCATCAATTGTTAAAAACAAAAAGGATATCAAAATTGTTTATTATTATTTAAATAAATTATTTAATTGTTCTTTCAAACATCTCTGTATTGAAAAATTTATAATTAATCCAAAACTGATCGAGTTTTTATTTGGAAATGTTCCTAAACAATTTTATGTTCAAAATTGCGATTATTCTATTACTGGACACAATATTGACATTATAATATTTCATTTTATTTTTAACTATTTAATTGGTGGAAATCTTTCAATTAATTTTCTTCGAGATAGAGCAGCCATTGAAAAACATAAAGACATTTTATTTAAAATTTTAACAAGTGGAGACAATTTTGAACAAGTTTATTTGAAGCTTTCTAATCTTCCAGGAATGTTTCATCAATTTATAAATGTACAAGGGATTTATGATTATATTATTGAAGTAAATTATATTTAGGGGAGGGTTGGGGTCATAAGAGCGCGGGGCCATTAGGGCGCAAGCCTAGAGACTGACACTTAGGCGAAACCGAAATTTATGAAAATTTTCTCAAATTTCTTTAACATCCTTGACTACCTCCTCCAGAAATTTCAGAATTTTTCATCGAATATTTCTGAAGTTATAGTCGATAAACCGCGAAAAATTAGGGCTTTTTTAGAAAATCAACATTTTTGGCCACAATTTCCGAAATTCTTGATAAAAAATTCTGAACTTTTTGGAGAACGTAGATAAAGGCATGAGAGTTATTATTGCAAAATATTATCTTTTTTGATAAGCAACTCACTGTTTTATAAGCTCGCGCCCTAATGGCCCAGTCCCTTAGGGGAAAGTTTAAATTTTAATTTTCTAGTATATAGCTACAACTAAAGACATTTCAAAAATGACGCCTGTTATTATTCTCGAGTTTCTTGCTACCGCTTTTCCAGGACTTGAATTAAATGAAAGGGCAGAAAAAATTAAAGTTAGACAAGCTGAACAATTATTTGATACAAAATATACAAAATACCGAATTTCGAATATTCACAATCCAAAAGTTAGATTTAGAGTTTGCAATGAAGAAAGGGAAAATTTTATATCTTTTTTCGTTAAAATTAAAATAAAGAAAATTGAATTTTGAACAATGAAAGTAAAGAATTTTTTGATTTATCGGACAAATAAATAAAAAATTGACTTTCTCAATTAAATTATTTTTTTATAATTTTCATCATTTTTTAAGTGGATAAAGCTTGCTATTTTGTTTTTGAATAATTAAAACATATTTTTTATAACATGAATGGACCTTGTTCTAATTTGCATCTTTTGGGCTAATGTATCTCACAGTGGATGGAATTCTATTTGAGCACGGGCTTTTATCGGGCCAGAATTTTATTAGAGCTTTTACGATTCCCTCATTTATTCAATTTTCCCTCAAAACACTTTTTAAATCTTACAATATTTCCTCAGAACATTATTGAATTTATTCCTCTTTAGTTCTTTTATCAACCTCTTCTTAACCTATAAATCAAACTTGACATATTTGGCCTCTCTTCACTTCCCGCCCCTTTTACTCCTATAAACAGCCATTTGTATTCTTTAATTTTTGCTTTAATTTTGTCTAAATCAATATTAAATTTTCCAAAATTTGCCTTTTTGCTCTTCTACTTTTCCAATCTAGTTTTTATTTCCTTTTTTAGACAATTAAAATGCTTTCTTTGCCACATGAAGTTCAACTTGATGTATTGAAATGTCTTGATTTCAACCAATTATTTTCTGTTAAACAAACAAATTTTTATTTTCGAGATTTAATTAATAAATATGTCGGGGAATTGGCACGAATGGAATTTAGTGAACTCTCAATAGTAAATATTTGTTTTATAAACTTTTTTCAATTTTTTAGATTGATGCAAATGAAGAACTAGATTTTACCTATAAATCCATTGAACCTAAATCTGTTGTTTTTGGATTTACGTTGACTGATCAACTTATGAAGAAGGTTAATTCAATTTTTAATTTAAATTTCATATTTATTTTTTGTTAGTGGCAAGCAGCGATAGACAAATCAATTCCGTTGTTTTTAAGTGAATATGTTATAAATCCACTTATTCGTATCGAGTCTTTAGGTTTAAAAATATTTACATTAATTTAGTCAATTTAATAGAGAATTTGACCCTATTAACCCTAAATTCATTTTTATTTAGTTGACAAAAATAATTATATTTTAAAATTGCCAACAATTCCAAAAAATATCGAAGAAATGATTATTGTTCGTTGCTGGTTAGAACAACTATTTAAATGTGCAATTTATTATTGCGGTTTTATAAAAATTGTGTTTAATCCAGAAATGATTAATATATTATTTGAGACAAATCCGCCTAAACTTCATACAGTAGCACTTCTTTCTCCTACCAAACGAATATTTGAAAATATGATTGACTTTATTTTGAATCCTTTAGCAATTGACGAACTTCTTGTGCTTAATTTTAAATATCTTAACAATGAAGAACAATACACTGATATTTTATTCAATATTATAATAAATGAAGGAAATAAATTCCCAAAAATTTGTTTACTTGATTGCAAGATAAAAAGGCTTTATGATCTCTTTATAGAAGTATTTCTAAAATATAATTAAAATAAATTTAAATTTTAGTATATAACAACAAAGAGAGATTGTTCAAAAATGATTGTTAAAATTGAGCTATGGTGTATAACATACCCAAATTTCAAAATTTATGAAAGAGCAGAAAATGTTGAAATTGAGTGTGAAGATGATGAAAAAACTATTACAAGATTCAAAATTGCCAATATTTATGATCCTAAAGTGAGATTTGAATTTATCATTTTACGAAGTAAGAGAACATCATCTTTTTGCATCGATATCATAAAAATGAATGAGTAAAATTTGAGTTGAGAAAAATTTATTTATTAGATAACAAGTTAAAAATAATTTTTTTTCTACTTTTGATAAAATTTGTTTTTTCTTTAAAATTTATGTAAATTCTTGAAAAAAATTAATTAAGAATGTTAAAAAACTTATAGTAAATGTGCTTAATTTAGAAATATTTAAAAATAAATAGGCAGGCTTTAGCCTGTTAAAAGTAGAGATCGGACCGTACCGTACTACGGCCGTATTTTTCGGTATTTATCGGTATTCCGTATCGGTAGTACGGTACGGAAAAATTAAAAAAAAATACGGTACGTTATACGGTACCATTGAAAAATATCGGTATTTGTCGGTATTTATCGGTATTCCGTATCGGTAGTACGGTACGGAATACGGTACAAAAAAATTTTTAAAAAAATACGGTACGGAATACGGTACCGATGAAAAATATCGGTATTTGTCGTTATTTATCGGTATTACAGTCGGTAATACGGTACGGAATACGGTACGGCAACATTATGAATTTCATCGGTATTTTTTGGTATCGGTATTTTTCGGTATTACGGTACGGAATACGGAACAAAATTCCGATCTCTAGTTAAAAGTAAACTTTATAAAACAAAAATAATTAAATTAAAAAAGGTCAATTAAAAAATAATTTTTTGTTAGATAAATTAAATGAAATTTTCGTTTGCATTCTTATATTCCATCTTACATTCTTTTGATATGAATAGAAGAATCTATTCCACCATTCCATTTTTCATTACAGAGTGCAAATTTCACTTTTGGATTGTAAATATTGGAAATTTGGTAATTTGTATGTGTTTTATTATCTAATTGAACAACTTCAATTTTTTCTGCACTTTCACTGAATTTAAAGCTCGAAGAAACAGAAATAGGAAAATAAAAAATAATATGAGGTACCATTTTCGAGCAATTTCTAGATGTTGTTATATACTAAAATGTAAATTTATTTTTTCGATAGCTTACTTACTTTAATAATAGAATCATAAAGCCTTGCTAATTTATAACTTTTTAAATGAATTCTTGGTAATTTATTGCCTTCATTTATTAGAAGATTGAATAAAATATTTGTATTTTGCTCTGTAATGTCAAAAGAATAAAAACTGGTGTAAATAAATTTATAAATTGTCAAATGATTTAAAACGAAGTTCAAAACATTTTCAAATATTTTATTTGCAGCAAACATAAATAGGCTTTCAAAGTGAAACTTAGGAGGACTTGTCTTATCGTCATCGAATAATATATTAATCATTTCTGGATTTCAACGACAAATGAAAATCTTATCTTTGGATTGTGAATATTTGCAATTTGGTATTTTGTACATTTATACCAATTTGATTGCTCAATTTCAACTTTTTCAGCCCGTTCACTTAATTTAAGACTTGTGGGATTAGAGAAAATAAAAAGAATAAAAGGCAACATTTTTGAATAATCTCTACATGTTGCTATATACTTAAATTTGAATTTATTTTTAAATTTTGCATAAATAAACTTCGATAAGACGATTATAAAGTATCTGTACATTTATAGTAATATCATCCACAATTCCTGGAGAATTATTAAATATCAACTCAACTACTTCAAAATTGTCTCCTCCATTTATTAAAAATTTAAATAAATCATCTTTAGATTTCTCTATAATTTCTTTAGATAAAGGAAAATAAATATAGAGAGTTTCGCTAATTAAATTATTTGAAGTAAAAATTTTTTTTAATTATTTAAAATTTTAATAAATAAATTTAAAAAAGTCAATGAAAAACAAAAATATTTTAAAATACCTATTTAATCTCAAATTAAATAAAAATAAGCCTATTCAGAAATTGACTTAAATTTATAAAATTTGGAAAAAAAATTTAAATTTCAAAATATTTCTTTGTGAAATAAGGATTTTTTGAAAGGATTTTTTAAATTATTTTTTCCTTTATTATTTTAAATTAACAATTTCGTTGTCCGTATCGTCCATCTCCACTTCCCTCGTTATTCCTTTTTCGTCTAAATGAAATTCATATATTCCTTCATTCAGAATTGAAAATATTTCGAAAACATTTTCTTGATTTTTGTAGAATGAGCCTCCATTATGTACATCCATTTGACTATCTTCAATATCATTTCTTTCCGTTTTTACCACGTTGATATCCATGAACTGTCTCAAACTTTTCAAAACTTTTTTCTCTAAATCATTCATTTTCTTGAACATTTTGAAAACACATTTTTCCTCATTTTCTTTTTTTATTTTAACAAAAAATTCAAGCTGACTCCCACGAAATGCTTTTTTGACAATTACAAAATAATTGCCTGGATTTTTAAATTTTATACAAATTTCAATGTGAGAATATTCCATTATCATTTCAGGTTTTTTAGCATTTAAAGAAAATGGTTCAAATAAATTAACCTTGGTATACTTTTCTCTTTTTAAAATTTTTCTCGGTCCTTCATCATTCAAAAAACATATTAATCTTGTTAATTTATAATTTTTTCTAAATGGAATTTGTACCCAAGTTCTTACACCGTTTATGTCTATATATTTAAAAATATCATCTGTATTATCATCTGACAGCTGGTTTGCTTCCAAATTGATTTGTCCATTGAATATAGGTAGCAAAGTAATTAATTCCTAAAAATGAAATGAGTTGATCACTTCAAAAAACAAGATTAAACGCGTCTCAAAAAACAGCCTGAAAGAACATTTGTTGTTATTTCTAAAGGTCTACAAATATTTTTCAAAAAAATCGTGTTTAAATCCTATTTTTCTTTTTTTCTATTTTAGTTGACAAAAAACGTCTTTTACTAAAACTGCCAAACGTTCCAAAAAATATAGAAGAAATGATTATTGTTCGTTGCTGGTTAGAGCACCTATTTAATTGTGTTTATGTGCAATTACATTTAGATATAATTGTATTTAATCCAGAAATGATTAATATATTATTCGATGACGATAAGACAAGTCCTCCTAAGTTTCACTTTGAAAGCCTATTTATGTTTGCTGCAAATAAAATATTTGAAAATGTTTTGAACTTCGTTTTAAATCATTTGACAATTTATAAATTTATTTACACCAGTTTTTATTCTTTTGACATTACAGAGCAAAATACAAATATTTTATTCAATCTTCTAATAAATGAAGGCATTTTTGATATTTTATTCACATTTTAATAGAGAAAATGAGTCTTCTCAAAACATACTTGTTAAATACCAAAAAACAATCCTTTTTCTTTGTTTCAAGGCAAAAATTATAAAGGCAAGTTGGATGGAAGGAAGGAAAAAGTCTGACCATTTTGTAAAAATATAGGGGGGAAAATAGGGAGGAAAAAATGCCTTTCAATAAAATGCCTCTTCAATATTACCATGACATCTTATCGAGATTCTACCGTAATTAAATTACATTTTTTGCTTCTATCATATTATTCTGTTCAAACATTGTTAAAAATACACAGCTATTTTGTGCTAGAATACAACGATGGACATTTATTTTCTCCTCTCCAATCTGTAGAATAGAAGAAAAGAATTTTACTTTCAAAAATTTCAATTTATACCTTAATAACTAAATCTGAAAGCGTTCTAGTTAAAAATAAATCTCTAAGCAAATTTCGTTCTTCAATTTGATTATTCGCAATTTGATTATTATCATTCACACAATTAATGTTGTGAGGCACAAATTCAACTTCACAATACAGCAAAACAGAACCTTTAATAATAATAGTTAATGACCGAAAAAATATTTTCTGAAAGTTTCTTCCAAATTTTTTATTCACTCATATATGTATGTATTAAATTAAATTTTAAATAAATGAGAACATTTGAATAAAATTTAAATACATTTACTCACCATCAGCATGACAAACTTTTTGCAGGTCAATTTCGGATTTACCAGCTTCGGTTTTATGTGCAAAATTTGAATTACTACTTCTCAAAAGAAAATCAACTATAAATAATTAGTAAATATAACTTACGAACAAATAATTACTCGCTTTCCTTCAAAATCATGAGCATAGATATTATATTTAGCTAACAAGCTAACTTGTACCTCTTTTAATCCGATTTGAGTGAGTGAAACATAGGTCCTATAATTTCCATACATGCCGTCACTTTTCGGATAAATACGTAATTCCCAAACAACTGAAGGACATTTTGGGTTGTAAAAATTCTTGCCTTTATTTAATTTTAACGCAAAAAATTTTTAAAAACCATACTGGTTAGAACTTGGTCACTCCCCAAGAATTCCTTGCGTAATTTTAAATCATATATTTTCCATTCAATTTTACATTTAATTAAATCAAGCTAAGAAAAAAAGATTTGAATAAATATAGTAAATAAAATTACCTTATCAGAGACATCAAAAAACATTGTGATTTAAAGTTTTTCAGTAAAATTTCAAAAAGAAATGATCAGGAAATAATAAAATACTGAAATATTAAGAAACAAAAGATGGTTTGTAAAATCGAAAAATCATGAAATTTTTATTATAAAAAATTAAACTATAATACTGAACAGGGTTGCCGCCCGAAACCCGAAACCCGATACCCGAAACCCGAAACCCGGTCTTTTTTTGTACCCGAAACCCGATACCCGAATTGAAAATTTTCCAACCCGAAACCCGTACCCGATATTTTTTCCAACCCGAAACCCGTGACCCGAAATTGGTTAAAACCCGAAATTTCTACCCGAAAACTTAGCCTTACCCGATTTTTTAAAATAAATTTTAAAAATTATTGAAAGGAAAAGGGAAAGGAATATTTATAATTTCTTCCATATTTGCATTATGTTGATCGGTGGCTGAACGAGTAAGGCGGCTGGCTCTATATTTTAATAGAGGTCGGTTCGAGCCCAGGTCTGGAAGTGAGGCCTGAAAAATTTTTCTTTTCAAAAATAAAGGTTTTTAAACTTTGATTTTCAATTTAGATTTTTAAATTTATTTTTTTTAATATTTTAAGCTTGAAAAAGCATTAAAAATTTTAATTTAGTCATGAATTTTGCAAAATTTTCGCCTGCGGCGCATAAGATTAAGAGTTTTGGCTTCATGACAACTAAACTCCGCAAAAAAAAGTCCGCAGAAAGGGGGTAGGGATAACGAAAAATTACCAAAATTTTTTGCCTGCGGTTCTGACAATTGAATTTTTTCTTTTAAGTCCTTACAAAATTCTCAAAATTTTCGCCTCCGGCGGTGAATAAACTAGAAATCTGGCTTACGGATCATTAAAATTCTCAAAATTTTCGCCTGCGGCGCAAAAAATGGAAGAAATTTGGCTTCTTGGCCTTAAAAATTCTCAAAATTTTCGCCTACGGCGCTGAAAACTGGAGAAAATTGGAGGCTTTAATGGAGATAAAGCGGAAGGATATTAGTATATAGTGGGATTTTATCAAGGTGATTTTACCAAGATAACCCTCTCTATCCCCAAATCCCACAATGTCTCTTTAATCTCTTCAAATTCGCCTCTCTATATCACCCAAAATCCTCTTGTGCAACATAGCTTGTCTCCTTACAATTTAGTTCACCAATACCCGACCACCCGAAAATAACCCGGATTTTTTGCCAAACCCGAAACCCGTACCCGAATTTTTTGCCAACCCGAAACCCGTGACCCGAAATGAAAATTTTATAACCCGAAACCCGAAACCCGTACCCGATTTTTTTGCCAACCCGAAACCCGTGACCCGAAATGAAAACGCTCCAACCCGAAACCCGTACCCGAAGATTTTTTGTACCCGCGGCAACCCTGATACTGAATTTATTTGTTTTATAAATTGAAAGGAAAAATGAATGAAAACATTTTGCCGCCCTTTTGTATTTCTTTGTATTAGCTACATTAGTTTATTTACATAAAATTTATTAGAAAGAGGCGTTTGAAAGGATTAAGACAAAAATGTCATAAGTTAAAGAAAGAACTTTAAAATTTACAAATATGTACACTCTGTTTCAAAAGTATAACCCACTTTTGATTTTTAAAATTTTTCGATGTACAGTTGATGTATCATTTTGAAATTTGGTAAGTTGATTCAATTAACTAATCTAAGGATATTCCCAAAGTTTCATCAATTTTTATCCAATAGAAAATTTTTAATTAATTTTTTTCTGAAATCTTCCCCAAAATAGGTGTTTCATAAGTATAACCCACTTTTATTTTTCATAGTTGCAACAATAGGAAAAATCTAAAAAAAATTCATCAAACATGTATATTGATATTATAAAAACTAGAAAAAAACCAGGTCCATATCTCAACCCAAGGCCGAGATCCTGACACCTCTAAAATCTCGAAAATCAACTAAAACGGGGGTAAGTCTATTAAAAAAATATTTTCGACACATTAAGTGTAGTTTTGAAATTTTATTTTTGGCCTATCTGAAAGCCCATGAAATTTGCTACAAGATAGCATTTGCCTTATTTTTCAGAAAAAATTCATTAGCGAATAAAGGTGGTTAAACTTTCGCATCAACAAAAAACGCCTAAATGTCCACAAAAATGACCGTTTAGATCGCTTCTGAAGTTTAACCACCTATATTTCGCTAATGGATTTTTTCTGAAAAATAAGGCAAATGCTAACTTGTAGCAAATTTCAAGGGCTTTCAGATAGGCCAAAAATAAAATTTTAAAACTACACTTAATGTGTCGAAAATATTTTTTTAATAGACTTACCCCCGTTTTACGTTGATTTTCGAGATTTTAGAGGTGTCAGGATCTCGGCCTTGGGTTGAGATATGGGCCTAATTTTTTTTTTATTTTTATATAATATTCCTATATATGATTGTTGGAATTTTTGTGGATTTTTTCTAATGTTGGAAATATAAAAATTAAAAGTGGGTTATACTTATGAAACACATTTTTTATCAAAAATTTCGTAAAAAAATTAATTAAAATTTTTGGATCGAACAAAATATACGAAACTTTGGGAATGTTCGTAGATCAGTTAAATGTATCTAAATACAAAATCTCATAAAGATAACTTGATTAAGCAACGAAAAATGTAAAAAAATAAAGTGGGTTATACTTTTGAAACAGAGTGTATCTTGCCTTATATCGCTTATAAAATAAAAATTCCGTTTATATTCATAAATCGTGCTAGGCTAAATCGACTTCTAGACAAAACACTTCTGAAAAAATACTTTACAACCAAAAAGTTCAACGAAATTAAATGTTAAAATTCAACAATAACAAAATGTATAAAATTCATTCAAATGCTGAAATTCTGTTTCAAAAGTAAACTTAATTTTTTAGACTAGTTTAGCTCGTCTACAAATTTTGAAGTATATATTTGTCATAAAATGAAATTTAAAGTTTATGCTACAAATTGTAATCAAATAAATTACATAAAGCTAATTAATGAAAAACAAAAAATTTGTAGAACAGTTCCCCAATAAGTCAAAAACTTTATTTTTGTCATTCAAATTCTACTTCTTTATTTCAATTTTAACTTCAAAAGCCCTTGAAGTTTTCCTTTCTTCATTGCAAAATAAATATTTTGCCATTGGATTGTAAATATTGGATATTTGATAATTTGTATATTTAACATCATTACATTGCTTAGTTTCGACCTTATCTGCTCTTTCACTTAATTTGAAACTTGTGGGATTTGCGAACTCAAAAGTAATGACACGCACCATTTTTGAACAATCTCTAGATTTTGTTATATACTAAAATTTAAATTTATTTTTATGTTTGAAAAAACAAATTACTTCGACAATCTTTTCATAAAGCAATGTTGCATTTATACCATGACTCAAACCTCCGAAAAAAGTATAAAACCTCAACTCAACTTTTCCAAATTTGTCTTCTCCGTTTATTAAAATTTTAAATAAAATATTTATAAATTTTTTCATAACGTCTTGTTCTAGCAAAAAATTAATTCTAAGAATTCCAGTAGCTAAATTGTTCCAAACAAATTGGAATAATAGTTCAATACTGAATTGATAAGCTAAACGATTGCATGATTGTACATAAAATTGTTTATCAGTTCCAAATAATAATTGAATCAATTTTGGATTGAATATATATTTATGAAAGTCGCACCATTTAAAACAACAATTAAATAATTTATTTAAATAATAATAAACAATTTTGATGTCCTCTTTACTTTTAACCATTTTTGGTAGTTGAAGTATATGACATCCAGTGTCATAACCTAAAAAAATTAGGGCTGTACTTTAGTCTAGCGGATACCAGATGCCATTCAATTCGTCTCATCGAGCTGAGTTGAATTTTACCACAATCTATTTGCGGAAATGCCTACGAGCCGAGATATAGGTCCTTAAAAACGAAAACCCATAGGGGGGAGTAAGCCCAATTTTAGCACCTTATCTATGGTATCCGTGGAGCTTTTGCTGCTACGGAGGAGACGGGCATGCCCTCATCGCTGATAGAAATAGGATTATGTTATTCCGAGGACTCCCCGCGAGGCGTGTGCCGCGAAACGCCGCGTGAAGCGCGGCGTTTTGCAATATAAACACAAATTGGGTAATTTTCAATTTCGTTCCCCCCCTCCTTTTTACCTACTCAAATTATGAAAAAATGGTCAGACTTTTCTTTTTTTCTCAATTACACTCTTCTTCCCCATGGCATACAATCAGTCAAAAAGGATTACCTTTTTTAAATTTGTTTGTATAAATATAAGAACTGAGAAAGAAAAGCGTCACATTTTTAAAAATGGAGAAACTAAAAAATTTCAAAGATTCCCATCTACATGAAAAATTGTGTTTGAGTGACAAAGATTTCGATTTATGGCTTGTAGAGCTTGGACTACTTCACGGAAAACGAACTTGTTATAAATGTGGGGGCCGAACTACCATTCATCAAATTAGAGATAGACGTTATGGCAGCTGGCGCTGTACAACAAAAAGATGCCGTGCAGAAAAAGGTTATTTATGCGGCACCTTTTTCGAAGGCACTCACTTAACAACAAAACAAATCTTTCATCTTTCTTTTTTGTGGGCTTATCGCTTAGGCAAGTAAAATTTAATCCTTCTTGACTGATTGTATGCCATGGGGAAGAAGAGTGTAATTGAGGAAAAAAGAAAAGTCTGACCATTTTTTCATAATTTGAGTAAGAAAAAAGGAGGGGGGGGGGACGAAATTGAAAATTACCACAAATTGTTGTGTATAAAATAAATTTTTATAAAATAAAATTCAACCTTTATTCAAGCAAATAACAATATTGCGAGATGCATCTTGAGGTAAATACAAAGGAATTGGGGTTTTCAATCCATTTTTCCACTAAAAAAGAAAATGTTTGAATACTTTAATTTATTAACCTTCTCTTCAAGGTGTTCATTTAACAAAAAGTCAAAATCTTCAGCTTTGGATTTAATTAATTTATGGTTTGTTAAATCCAAACAGATATCCTTAAGAGAAGAAATTAAAAAAAAATTAACTAAAAATGTTACAATAGAAATTCCATAAAATTCCTCCCGAGCAAGTTTTCTTTGAAAATCATTAATAAATTCACGAAAATATAAATTTGTTTGTTTGATTGAACATAATTCTTGATAACTGAAACTTTAAAATCATCAAGTTTTGTTTCTGTTGGTAAAGAATAAAACATTTTTTGAAGAACTAAAAGATTAACTAAATTTTTATAATTTAAAAATATTTAAAAATAAATTGCCAGACTTTAACCAGCTAAAAATGTAATACAAATAAATTTATAAACCAAAAAAAATAATTTACTCAAAAAATTCAATGAAAAACAAAAATTAAAAAATATTTCGTTGCATTCTCTTAAATTCTACTCCTTCATTTTCCTGATTTTAAGCTTAAAAACTGTTCCATCATTCCATTCTTGATTGCAAAATGAGAATCTCTCTTTTGGATTGTAAATATTAACAATTTCATAACTCATAGATTTTAAATTCGCATAATGTTTGACTTCAACTTTTTCTGCTTTTTCACTTAATTCAAAACGCGGGTACGTATAAAAATCAAAAATAATAACAGGCACCATTTTTGAACAGTCTTTAGATGTTGTTATATACTAAAAATTTAAATTTATTTTTAAGCCACTTGAAGATAACGATATTTATGTATTTCTTATTTTTTGAAATGTTTCCCTCATTTTTGATTTGACATCTTATCAATCGAAACTGTCATTTCGTGACAGGTCTACTATTCCATCTCCCATCAAATGAATTTTATAGAGGGAAATTTTCAAAAAACATTGGAATATAAATAAATAAAAACTTTCCCTAGATAACTTACTTCAATAATATTAGTATAAAGCCATTTCACACTAACATTTTTTAAAAGAATTTTTGAAAATTTATTGCCTTCATTTGTTAAAATATTTAATAATCTTCTATATGAACGGACATAAGAAAGTTTGTTCGCGTTGATGCTAATACAGTCATAAATAGTTAAATGATTTGAAGAAAACTTCCAGATATTTTTAAATGTATTTTCGCTCGGAAATAAGTTTGGTTTTAGTATATGAAATTGAAGAGGAATTGTTTTGTTGTCATTGAATAATAAATTAATCATTTCTGGATTAAATACAATTTCATTAAATAAAGAATATTCAAAGGCGCAATTAAAAAGTTGTTCCAAACAGTAACGAACATAAATCATTTCTTCTATATTTTTTAGAAAAGTAGGCAATTTTAAAATATAATAATGAGGTTCGTTGTCTAATGTATAGTTAAACGTCCTTTCAATATAAATAAAAAAGTTTCCGCCACACTCAGGAAAGCTTCTGTTAAATATATACTCCAAGTTTTGAGAATTGTATAAAAATAACTGAGTAAATCTATCTATAGCTGTTTGCCACTGAAATAAAATTAATTTATGTCTTATACTTTTAGGATATGTTCCAAATACGAATTGGTTATTAATTAACCACGAATTGGCATCTATAAAATGAGGTCAAAGCTCTTGGAGCCAAGTATCAAAGATAAAAAGAGAAAAATTCCAACTTAATACAAAGATCGTTAATATTCCCCAAGATATAACGTTTATTTCTTTCAATTCTTAAAGAAAAATCCAGTACTTAGTTAATAAATACTAACTATCGAGAGTTCGTAAAATTTCATTCGAAAGCACAATTCTCCCTCATATTTATTAATTAAATTGAGAAAGTAAAAATTTGTTAATTTAAAAGAAGTTAGTTGATCAAAATTAAGACATTTTAATACATCAAGTTTTGCTTCAGTTGGAAGAGAATACATTTTTAATTTTCTAAAAATAATGGAAAAATCCTGAGCTAAATAAAAAGAAAAAATAAAAGTCGTTAGATTTGCTTTTACTAGTCGGATTGGGATCTGAATGATCTACTCAAAAAACGGAGGTAAGAGATACCATTATCCCATGAAATTTTGTTGAATGAATGAAAATAAAAACGAAAAATGGTAAAACTAGTAGGTGAAAAATGATTTAATTTTTAGGAATGTTCATCCATAGTAAAATAACTGAATGGCAAATAAATGTTGGAAAAAGAAATTTTTGACCTTATAAGTTCAATTCGTTGTTCTTCATTCTCATTGCCTAATTACACAGAAATACACCCATTTATTCAAATTATTCCCTCAAAAAATAATTTTAAATTTATTTTTACTTTTAATTACTTTACAATATTCCCCAAAACATTATTTGAATTTATTCCTCTATATTTTCTTATTTAACCTTTTCTTAACCTATGAGCTTCTCCATATTTGACCTTTCTTTACTTCCCGCACTTTTTTACTTATATAATAAAGGCATGGAATAAAAAGGGTCATATTTTGTCATTTGTTAGTTAAAATGCTTTCGTTACCACTTGAAGTCCAACTTCGAATATTAAAATATCTTAATTTCAACCAATTATTCTCTGTTAAACAAACAAATTTTTGTAATTTAATTAATAAATATGAGGGGGAATTGGCACGAATGGAATTCGAGCGAATCTCTATAGTAAATCTATTTGTTAACAGACATTTTCTATTTAAATTAATTTAAGGATGAACGTGATGATGATTCTGATTATGCTTTTCATGATTCTGCTTATGCTTCTCATCATCAGTTATTCACATATAAATCCATTGAACCTCAATCAGGAGTTTTTGAATTTACTTTAAATGCTCAACTTAGAAAGAGGGTTATAACCTTCTTTTTAATTAAATTCCATTTATTTTTAGTGGCTAAATGCGATAACTAGGTTAATTCCGTTGTTTTTAAAAAATTCTGGAAATGTAACTACAACTGTTTTTATTACTGTATGTTCAGGAGGACCACGAATAATTTTGAACGCCTCGGGTGAAAACATTTTTATTTTCTCTTAAATACCAAGACCTGACTATATTTTCTAGATCTAGTGAATCGAGACCTTGTTTATCGTTTAAAACTGCCAACCTATCCAAAAAATATCCAAGAAATGATTATTGCTCGTTGCTGGTTAGAACGGCTATTCAAATGTGCGTTTGGTTGCCTCTATTTCTTCAGAAGTGTATTTAATCCAGAAATGATAAATATATTATTCGATAATGACACAACAATTCCTCGTCAGTTCAACATAAAAGTTGGAACTCTACTTGCTTACAATGAAATATTTGAAAAGGATTTGAACTTCGTTTCAAATCATTTATCAATTTCTGAATCTCTTATTTTCGATTTTAGAGGTGTTGACTTCACAGAGAAATATACAAATATTTTATTCAATATGTTAATTAATGAAGGCAATAAAATACCAAAAATTAAGTTTACTAGTTATAAGCTAACAAGACTTTATGATCTTATTACGGAAGTAATCCATCTATTTATAAGTTAAAAAATAAATTTATATTTTAGTATATCGCAACATCGGAAGATTGTTCAAAGATTGTATCTGATATTCTTTTTCAATTTGACAATTCGCCACCTTTTAAATTAAGTGAAAGAGCAGAAAAAGTTGAAATTAAGCAAGTAGATGACGTTAAATATACAAAATACCAAATTTCCAATATTAACGATCCAATAGTTAAATTTGACTTTCACAATGAAGAAGATAGTGATGGATGGACTTTTTGTAATAAAGTCGAAATAATGAAAAATAATTGAATTTAAAAAGACGAAAACGGAAATTTAATTTGTTGGATATCAAAATACTTTTTTGAATTAATGGTGTTTTTTGACTTGATATATAAAAACTTTTTTTGTTTTGTAAATTTTTCCGTATTACTTTTACTGGTTAAAGCATGTCAATTTATTTCTAAATATTGTTAAATAAATTTTATTTAATACATTAAATAGGAGGACGTCCTAAGCATGATTCATTTCAACAGAATCATGACAACTAAAATTTTATCATCTTTAGACAACTTGTCCAAATTTATTTCATACCACTCATAGTCTCAACATTTTAGTTTTTCTCATTTGGTAAATCAAAGTTAATTTCATTGAACCCAAATTCAAATTTTATACAAATGCACCGATTTCATATAGTGTGATCAAATAAATATGTAAATTGAAAAGTAAGGTTAATAAATGAAGTTTGTTAGGGAAAGTTTCCTGTTTTTAAGTTTAATATAGGAGAATTTACATCAATGTGACCCAGACATTTTACACGGAAAATAGGCGTCCTTTCTCCGCAATATTTGAAAAAGTACTATGTCAATCCAATGTAGAGTAGGGCTGTGAATTAGATGGAGAAGAAACAAAAATATGTATATTAATCAGAATTTTTATTCACAATTTAATTAAAATAAGTATTTTTCTCAATTTTGTGGTTAGGTAATAGTTAAGTATAAGCGTTGGAAAAAGATCGTATAGAGTGTTCTGATCAGACAGAATTAGTCAAATTTACTGATACTTTAGCCACCGGCTAAAATATATCTATAACTATTTAGATATTAAAATGTTTGTTCTGCCAAACGAAGTTCAATTTGATGTCTTAAAATACCTTAATTTCAACGAATTAATCTCTGTTAAACAAACAAATTTTTACTTTCTCAATTTAATTAATAAATATGAGGGAAAATTGGCACGAATGCAATTCAATAAACTTCAAATGGTTAATATTTATTAATAGAGCCCGGATTTTTATGCATTAAAAAATGCAAAATATGCACTATAATATGCATAAAAAATTGCCAAAATATGCACAAAATTATGCAAGTAAACCAAAATATGCACTCATATATGCATGAAAAATACAATTTATACCTAAAAATTTTACATATTTTTAGTCAAAATGATTTAAACACCCATTTTTTATTTAGATTTCTCCTATTTTAAATGTATAGTTCGACAGATTGAGCATTTTTAAGCTGTTGGGCATTTTAAGATGAGGCATTATGGTGGTGGGACATTTTGAGGTGCGACGTTTAGGGGATGAGACATTATGGGTGTTGGCCATTTTCTGGCGAACCCAAAAAACACAAAAAATTTTTTACAAAATTTGTAATTTTTACAAATTTTTTCCTAAATTTTTAATAAATTTTCACTTTTTGGCAGGATTTTGGGCCATTTTCGCAATATTTTCCTCAAAAACCTCAAAATATGCAGTAAAATATGCATTATGCAGCAAAGTCCGGAATATGCAAAAATATGCATTATATGCAAATAGAAACCCCCTCTAATGTTTTTAAAACATGCGGAAACAGTGTTTTTTGTGCATTACACATCATGACAAGTTTGCAAAAAAAATATGCATTTGCATAAAAATCCGGGCTCTACAAATAACATATTAATCTTGTTAATTTATAATTTTTTGTAAATGAAAAATGTAGGCCAGTTCTTACACCGTTTATGTATACATATTTATTATAAAAATTATAATTTGTATTATCAGCTGACAGCTGATTTGCTTCCAAATTGATTTGTCCATTAAATATAGGTAGCAAAGTCATTAATTCCTAAAAATGAAAACGTGTTGGTCATTTCAAAAAACAAGATTACTCGTGTCTCAAATAAAAGCAGATCTATTTTGGCCGTGGATATATACTTTATTTATAAAGTGTCACGCTAAACAACGGTAAAGCAAATCAGTTTCATGAAAAAATCTCCATTTTCAATTTTAAAAATACTCTAATTAAAAAAAATCAGATTTTTTAAAATTTAAATCCGATTTTCACCCGCGATTTGCCTATAACGATTTTTATCTATAGTTTTTCGTAGTCTCCCAGTTATTCGGATATTCATTTATGTTTTCGTTTTTGTTGGTAAATGAACGGACTAGAAAGAAGTCAAATAGAAGTGAATAAAAACAGAGATTTGCTAAAAAATGAGGTGCGTTTATAATATAGTAACGCACCATAGGGTATTTGTCACGCACTGATGAACAAATACTTATGCCATATCTGCAATAGATTGAGATATTTTCCAATTGTATTAATTTTTTCCCTTTTTTATCAGTACTTTTAACAACAGTTGTGGGAAAGTTGTTAGTAAAGTTGCAGTTCCATCTACCAGGATTTATAAAAAAATCATCGTTCTCGTTTTTTGCATTAACTTCCAATAAAATTTTTATTTTATTTCTGCCATTTTCTTCATTACTTTCAGTCAATTCCATTTTCAATAATTTTATTTTAAAACTTCCATCCTCATTTTTATTATTTTCTGTGGATTCAACCAAAATTCGTTGATTAATTTTATAAAAAGAAAAACAAAAAGAAAATATTAAAAATAATATTTGAGAAAAAAATAAAAATTTGATTAAAAACATTGAAATACTTCTTTTGAATTAGTAAAGGAAAATAATTTTTTAATAAAATAATTAAAACTGATTAAAGCTTTATGTCAGATTTGCTTTGATTTTATACGCGGTCTTTTATTGTCTGGATTTAAAATTTAAAAAATAGAGAAATATTAATTAGATTCACATGAAAGACACTTAAATAAAGGTTAAATTAAAAACAAATATTTCAAAATTATTTATTTAAATATTACCTAATACTTTGTACTTTTTGTTTATTATTTAATATGTCCTTTTTGTGCATGTACTTTTTTAGAGTGCGGCATTTCTTTATCATTAGTCAAGAAAAAATTTTGTAATTGTTTGACAAATGTTAAGGAAGTGCCGCACTCTAAAAAAGTACATGCACAAAAAAAAATTTAATAAACAAAAAGTACAAAATATTAGGTAATCTTTAAATAATTTTGAAATATTTGTTTTTAATTTACCTTGACACTGCGGTGCATATGTTTATGCACACTAGTTTTTGTTCATAAGTTTATGCACACTTACTCAAAACTTACGTTCTATATAGCAATCTAATGCTACGGTTACATAAAAAACGCGCGCGTCTTGCGGCAGAAAAGATAATGGGAAATGAAGAGAGTAAAAGACGCCGGCGTCTTGCCGCTTTTTATGAGTGGTTACATAAACTGCGTCTTCCGCCGGCGTCAAGACGCCGGCGTTTTACCGCTTTTTTTGAGTGGTTACATAACCCGCGTCTTCCGCCGGCGTCTTGACGCCGAGCGTCTTGCCGCTTTTTTAAGTGGTTACATAAAATGCGTCTTCCGCCGGCGTCTTGACGCCGGCGTCTCTTTTTTTAATTCAAACATGTTTGAATTTTTTGCGGCAACTTTTAGCGTCTTGATCATTTCTCGGCCAATTCTAATGCGATTTTCAAAATTTAAAAAGATTCTGAAAATTCAATTCATTCTCTATCGATCAATATAAATTTTATATTTTTAAAGTTAAATCTTATGGGTTAAAATTGATTTTGAAAAAGGTATACTTTTTGCAAAAAAATATTCTTTTTTTTTCGATATTTTTGAGATTCTCAGTATCATAACTTTTTTATCAATCGGTCAAAAATTCTGATTTTTTGATATGTTGTAGAGCTTTTGATTCTCTATCAAATGATACCAAAAACATGAAAAAGTGACCATTTCTTGATAAGTAGGGCTCGTCCCATATAGTTAGGGACACTGCTTAATTTTTATACCATTCGACTCAACTCGACGAGCTCTTTCGAATGAGCTATCATTTGCATATTCGAAATTCGGTTCGGGAATTTTTACCCCAAATAAGACTTGGTCGAAATCAAGTCCGGGATTCGAAATGACCAAATTCTAAGCTCAGATTCGTGATCAGCATGTTCGTGATCAGCAGATTCGTGATCAGCATGCCCAATTCTGCACCATTACCACTTTTTGAGACTAATAAACATGACTAAGTTGACGATCAGTGATGGGAAGGTTCCAAAATTTCTCTGGAACTAGTTCCAGTTCCAGAACTAGGTTTTTTATTTTTGTAGTTCCAGTTTCGGAACTCCATTTTTAAAATTCCTTAGTTCCAGTTCTAGAACTTGTTCCAAGTTAGTTCTAGTTCCAAACTTTTAAATTTTTTTGAATATGAAGAGATTTATCAGTAACGGGATTTTCTTCAAAATTGTTTACGGACAGGATCCCGCGGGATTAATCCCGTAATCCTTTTCTAAAATTTAGCGAAATCCCGTGGGATTTCGGGATTTTCACATAAAAAATTTTTACGTAATGAATATCGGGAGATCAGAGGATTTGAAGGGATTAAGAGATTCCTAATTCTAGGATCCTAAAATAGTCCAAAATTTTTGACATTTTTTCTAAAATATATTGAAAATATCTCGTGTCTTGTGGCAAAATACGAGATACGAGACCTCTAAAAAACACGAGATTTCACGAGATACGAGAGGAGCGCCACCCCTGATCGGTACCATGGCAGAATAAAATGATTTGATTTTATAAATTTTATTTTAGTATGATAAATATTTAAAAAAAATTTTAATCGGATTTAGTGGTTACATAAAATCGCGCGCGTCTTGCGGAAGACGCTCGGCGTCAAGACGCCGGCGGAAGACGCTGTTTTGTGGTTACATAAAACTAGCGTTTTGACGCTTTGCGTCTTCCCGCTTAGCGGAAGACGCCGATTTTATGTAACCACGAAACAGCGTCTTCCGCCGGCGTCTTGACGCCGAGCGTCTTCCGCCGGCGTCTTGCGTTTTTTATGTAACCGTAGCATAAAGCTCTATTTGTATCTCAGTTGACATGTTTCTGTTTTTAAAAAATTTAAAAATAAACGGTAAACGAACGTTTAAACGGGGTCTTCAAAAATAAACGAAACGGTATACGGGTCTCAGATAAACGGCATAAACGGTATACGGTTTTTTCAAAATTAAACGGTTCTGTGCTACTCTAATTTAAAAGTACAAAATTTTATAAAATTATTTTTAATTTTATATTTAAATGAATGATACTTTAATATAAACCGTGGGCTTATATTTTGGACGGGTCTCCTCGGATCGGCTTATATTAGACTTTTACATATTCTGAAATATACAAAAGATAAAGTGCATTTATTGGGTGTAAAATAATAACATTGGGAAAGAACATTTTTATTTAAAATAAATATTTATTCTTTAATTTGTACTTTTTTTGACTAATGATAAAGAAATGCCGCACTCTAAAAAAGTACATGCACAAAAAGGACATATTAAATAATAAACAAAAAGTACAAAGTATTAGGTAATATTTAAATAAATAATTTTGAAATATTTGTTTTTAATTTAACCTTTATTTAAGTGTCTTTCATGTGAATTTAATTAAGATTTCTCAATTTTTTAAATTTTAAATCCAGACAATAAAAGACCGCGTATAAAATCAAAGCAAATCTGACATAAAGCTTTAATCAGTTTTAATCATTTTATTAAAAAATTATTTTCCTTTACTAATTCAAAAGAAGTATTTCAATGTTTTTAATCAAATTTTTATTTTTTTCTCAAATATTATTTTTAATATTTTCTTTTTGTTTTTCATTTTATAAAATTAATCAACGAATTTTGGTTGAATCCACAGAAAATAACAAAAATGAGGATGGAAGTTTTAAAATAAAATTATTGAAAATGGAATTGACTGGAAGTAATGAAGAAAGTGGCAAAAATAAAATAAAAATTTTATTGGAAGTTAATGCAAAAAACGAGAAAAATGATTTTTTTATAATTAATGCTGGATGGAACTGCATGTATACTAACAAGTTTCCCACAAATATAGTTAAAATTAATAATGCTAATAAAAACGGGAACAAATTAATACAAATGGAAAATATCTCAATCTATTACAGAGATGGTATAAGTATTTGTTCATCAGTGCGTGACAAATACCCTATGGTGCGTTACTAAATTATAAACGCACCTCATTTTTTAGCAAATCTCTATGTTTTTATTCACTTCTATTAGACTTCTTTCTAGTCCGTTCATTTGCCATCAAAAACGAAAACATAAATGAATATCCGAATAACTGGAAGACTACGAAAAACTATAGATAAAAATCGTTATAGGCAAATCGCGGGTGAAAATCGGATTTAAATTTAAAAAATCACATTTTTTTATTAGAGCATTTTTAAAATTTAAAATTATTTCATTAAACTGTTTTGCTTTACCATCGTTTAGCTTGACACTTACTTTTATAAATAAAGTATATATCCACGGCCAAAATCGATCTGCTTATTTGAGACACGCCTAATCTTGTTTTTTGAAATGACCAACACGTTTTCATTTTTAGGAATTAATGACTTTACTACCTATATTTAATGGACAAATCGATTTGGAAGCAAATCAGCTGTCAGTCGATAGTATTGCAAGAAATAATATTCTTCAGCAAAAATATATAGACATAAAGGGTGTAAGAACTCGAGTATTTATTTTTTTTAAAAAGAATTATAAATTAACAAGATTGACATGTTTTTTGAATCATGAAGGGCCTAGAAAAATTTTAAAAAGAAAAAAGTATACAAAGGTTAATTTATTTGAACCATTTTCTATAAATGGCAAAAAACCTGAAATGATAATGGAATATTCTCACATTGAAATTTGTCTAAAATTTAAAAATCCAGGAAATTATTTTGTAATTGTCGTCAGAAGATGGCAAGAGGGTTGTCTTGAATTTTTTGTTAAAATTAAAAAAGAAAATGAGGAAAAATGTGTTTTCAAACTGTTCAAGAAAATGAGTGATTTAGATAAAAAAGTTTTGAAAAGTTTGAGACAGTCAATATATATCTATTTGTCAGAAACGGAAAGAGATGATATTGAAGATGGTCAAATGGATGTATATGATGATTACACACACTTCGTCGCAAATCGAGTAATGATTTTCGGAATATCTTCAATTCTGAATGAAGGAATATATGAATTTCATTCAGACAAAGAAGGAATAACAAGGGAAGTGGAGATGGTCGATTCGGATATCGAATTTGTCAATTAAAATAATAAAGGAAATGTCAGCAACAAAATAATTTAAAAATCCTTTTAAAAAATCCTTATTTCTTAAAATAATATTTTAAAACCAAAATCTTTTTTTTTTCAAAATTTCCAATAAATTTAAGTCAATTTTTTAATAGGTTTATTTTTTATTTCATTTATGATTAAATATTTTAAATTTTTTTGGTTTTCATTGACTTTTTTCAATTAAATTATCTTTTATTAGATGTATGTGCATCAAAATGAATTTCATTTAGACAAAATATATATATAGGTTTACGTTGTTTTCGCCCATAGGTTTACGTTGTTTGTTTTTTGTATAGTAACTTTGTGTAATCTTGTTCTTCTGAACTTTTGGTAAAAATTTTCCTTTTGTGTCTTCTGTCATACGGCCAAAGCCGGAAAAGTATCATTTAATGCAAAGTACAAAAAAACTTACGTTTATAACCGAATCAAAAATTCTGGAATACTATTAAGATATAATAACACGACATTTATAAGCTTGTCTCCATTCTTTAACATTTTGTGTAAAATATCTACATATTCTTCAATATTGTTTTTACTATGAAAAACGATACTATAGAATTTGCAAATTAAATGATTCACAACCTCACCTACCGCATTATTTAAACTCTACCCGGGTACCCGCTAAACACAAAACAATAACTACCCGCTAAACACAAAAACAATAAATCAGCAAATTCTTAACTTATTTTTATTACAATTTAAAATATTTTTATTTCAATTCAATTAAAAAATTAATTTATGTATTATTTAAAATCTTTTTGTTGACATTTTTTATGCTTTTTGACCCTTTTTATTTGTTCCCAACATGTAAGATGATTTCCCCTTTGTTGGATATTTTTTTAATAAATAAATTAATTAATTAAGAAAAACCAAAGCTTTCCTTTCAATAAAATTATTATTTTTTTTATATTTTTATTTATTTTATTTTTATTCTCCAAAATATAAAACATAAACTTCATAGATTTACATATTAAAAAAATAATGTTTTTATTTATAATTTTAATGTTTTTTGCAATATTCTTCAATTATTAATTTAAAAAACATTCAATGATCAATTTACTTCTTCAGCCTTTCCATCTTTATTCATAACAAAATAATTTTCACCAATAAGAAACCATTTTTGTTTTTCTTTATTTTTTAGTATTTTATTTTTTGAAATTGAATTTAATTCTCTTGGAATTAAATAATTCTTAAAAATATTTTTTGTTGAAATAACTCTAACATTTTCTTTATCAATAATTTCTATTTTATAAATTTCATCATCTAATAAGGGTTTAATTGGTGGAAAAGCAAAATTTTTCTTATTACGAGTAAATTTTGTTTTCATGAAGACGGAATAATCGTTCTTGTCAATATAATCATAGTATGCTTTACTTTCACCAAAATATTTTAGTTTAGTTTTGTTTTTATTATCTGCTTGAAGATAATTAAAAATATTTAGACTTAAGTTCTAGGATTAGTATGAATATGGACTACCAATCGAAAAATACGGAATGAACTATGAAAAAATCCTTTTTCAAAATGTTTGTCACGCATTTAAAAATCTTTTTCTTAATTATTTTTCGGTGATAGTTTCGAAAAATAACAGTTTTCACCATTTTTATTTTACAATGGAATTTTTGAATAAAAAAACATTTATTTCATTTTCTTTTTTCAAAAAATTATTTTATTTTTGCCCTCTTAAAAAACTCGACACAAGGGGACCAATCTGCAGAGTAACTGAAATGACCGCTTATATTGTGAACAACAGCGACCCAAACGAGATCTTCCGCATCAAAATCCGGAAAATCCTATTTTAATCAAAGTTCCGATTCCAGACACATGATCCCGAAAATCGGAATCCGATCCGGGTCCGAAAATTATTTCCAAATACAGATGATTAGGAGAATTTTATGTTTAGAAAAATTTGGAATTTTAAATTTAATTAAAATATTTTAACAAACTAAAAACTCTAAATCCATATTTTTCTTTGTCAATCAAATATTTTGGAATAATTAAAATTTGTATTTTTTCTTTATAATATTGTAGGATTTCTAATTCCTCCTTAGACATATTTTTAAAATTTTTTGTTACACATTTTTCCTCCTCCTCCTTCTCAATGTTAACAATAAAGTGAAAATGATACAAAACATCGAAATTGCTATTACTTAATCCAGCAATTAGGTATTTTCCTATATTTTTAAATTTTATACAAATTTCTATAAAACTTGCTTCTTCCCCTTTTAAATTTAAATACCATTTTAATTTCTTTAATAAATCTTTTCCATTATTGTTCTCTATTGGGTTTATTGGCTCGAAATTTAACTTAGAATTGAATAGAGGTATGATTGTTACCATTGTCTGTAATATTATTTTAAATTTTTATTAGATTTAAAGAATTAATAAAAGTACATATAAATAACTTACTTGGGGTTTAAAGATTATTTTGATTATTTTTTCCATGTCTTATTCAAAAATAGGTAGTTGAGAGCTCATTTTTGAAAGTCCGAGTCATCATCACCCACTCGCGAATGGGATGATGACCCCCCCCCCCTACAACGGGAAACACAGATAACTCAAGAAGTTATTCCAGAGGCAGGGCAAGTTTAAATTTTTTGGCAAATAACCTGGACCCGTCACATAACGCATAACGACTCTTCATTAAACAAAAAATTTACATAAAAATGTTTTTCTTCATGACATCTTCCTGCAATTTCGATTCCCGTTCTGTAATTTTTACCAAAACTGCCATTAATGTTTATTATCTTTATCCCACTTCTAATAAACTTTGCATCTTCAACCGAAAAAATTATTTTGCCCTTATCTTTTTTATTTGTCAAACGAATTTCAACAAAATCTTTAAACTCGATTGTCAGCTCCATATTTATTTTATTAATATCATTGCTTTTGTGGATTTTCAGTGTTTTTAATGTCATGTATCCACTAGAATATTCAAAACTAAAAAATATTGTATTATTATTTAATTTTAATTATTTGGAAAATTGAAAACATTTCTGTTAACTAATTCCAAAAATTTTTTGTGAATGTCTGTCGAACGATAAAAAAAACTAACTCTCTAATCCTTGATGAATATTCTTCATAAATAAAACTTTGAGTATTCCGAATATATCCCGTAGATTTATAGAAAATTAATTTAAAAATAAAAAAAACATTTTTAAAATAAGACATTTTTTGAACAAGAATGCAAATTTTGTTTTCAATATGAATTAATTTTTTATTTATTAACAGACTAATAATGAATATATGATATAAGGGTTATTTATACTCTTAATTAATAAGACCTTATTATTGCACTTTTCAAAGTGCAATTTGTCCACGATTTCTTAAAAACCGCCAAAGAATTAAATTTTTTGTCGGCATTATGAAATAAAAAATTTAGGTAGGTATAGTTGCATTGCATCATACATACTTTTCCTTGTTTACATAAATAGTGTGTTTTGGTAATGAATAAGAAAACAATTTATAAACAACAGATTTAAAGTATAAATTTTAAGTACTCCCAACCGCTACCTCTTCTCTCTTAATTTTTTTTCAAATTTTAAAATTCATTCATCTTATTATATGTACAGTCGTGGAAAAAAGTATGGAAACGCTAGAAAATTTTTTCTTAATTCTTAATTTTTCATTCAAAAAATACGTTCTATATACCAATCGAAAGCTCTATTCGTATCTCAGTTGACATTTCTGCATTTTTCATGAAAATGAAAATTGGCCGAGATAATCCGGATCTACCGGATATACCAAATCCCATTTTTTCGAAAAAATTTTTGGAACAAATTTAATAAACCCAAATGATAAAGCATATTTGTCTGAGTATTTTCCACAAAACCGCTTAAAAATATCTTTTTCCGGACCAGAGATATGATTTTTTGAAAATTGCAGTTTTCGTCTATTTT